CTCTCTTCCGACTCTGATGACGATGATCCAATTCCCGAAACAGCGGGCCAGATTAAAGTTGCTTTGTTCCGAGTTTTGGCGTCCGGAGAAGTCAAGCGTGGAGAGTACTCCCCACAATTTGATGCTCATGACGATGAGGAGGGTGGCCAGGATAACAGCGGCGGAGGAGATGCCGATGTTGACCATACCACAAGTTTTGCAAAGCCAAAATCACTCGACCCGAAGACCATTAGTACGCAGACGGTTACTGGTATTGACCCGACTGATAAACCATACGCTGTCTTCACTTTCATGTACCGTGGCGAACGTGAGTATTTTCTGGATCCCTTTTGACAGCGATCGTTTCTAATTCTAAATGAACGTAGGTCAATTGCAGAAGATGGGTATCTTGAAAGACCCCAAGGTGCAAGAGACGCCTGCTGCCACCAAGCGCAAGTCCCTACAAGCTGATTTCGCAAACCTTGGCCCTATCAAGCCGGGGGGCTCTGTTGGATTCCTTAATTTCCGCGACACCGAAGCCAAACCGCGGAAGGGAAAGAAGAGCGCCGATGACATGGACAGCGATGACGACGACACCGATAACCCCATACTTGGCAAGGCAGACGACGAAGAAGCCAAGGATGACGATCGGTTTTTGTCTCCAGATGACATTCAACGCCAGGGAGAGCTAGCAGAGAGCCTGCGGAAGATTCGAGTATGTACAATTCTAACATTCTATCAATTATATGTTAACAATCCTCCAGCTCAAGCGTCAGCACTCCGCGGAACCACCTGGAGGCAGTGTTGGCGACTCCGTCGATACCCCGGCTCCTGGATCTGGACCCACGCCACCTGCAAACGAACGCTCAGTGACCCCGCCAAAGGCTGCCGTAACTGGATCTGCAGGTGTGCCCTCTGAGCCGTCTCAGCTATCTGCTGAACCAGAAGATGGTTTATTTGGTAGTCCACTGAAGAAACAGCGGGCGAGTGTCTCGACTGCAGATGAGAATGCCCTTCGACGCCGGATCGCGGAGTCGTCCGGTCGAATCAATGAAGTTCTGGGCTCTTCCGCTCCTACGGACTCTACTTTTACTAGCCCAAAGTCATTCGGAGATGGGTTCAGCCTCACACCTGACCTTTCTGCTGGACCCCCAACAAACGATGAGGAGTTGTAAGGCTGTCGTGGTTCAAAATAGGTTACTTCTGGGTGGTCTGATCTCGATATCTCGTTTGAGCCATCGGGCTTGATAGGCCATTATTCTTCGCTTTGGAAAGCACTCGTTTTTGCCGTGATCTTATAGATCAACTAGGATTTTGTAGGATCCTCCTTGCCATTTACTGGGTCCTTCAAATAGTCATTTTGCTTTTCTACAATTACGCCGTTATGTCCACTACCTACAATACAGGGAACATGTTGAAGGAGAAATACATTTGCTGCACCCATCGGGGCAGCCAGATTCTGAATTTAAATCCAAAAATAAACGTAGGTGGAAAGATTGTAATTTATACATCGTAGCAGTATACATTTCAAAGGTTCCCGGGGTCCGACTGCCGTTGTCAAGCATTGGCTGAAGCGGCTTAAATCCCGATAAGCTTCTAGACCCTGAGAACCATAGCTCAAAACAATATACCTATTTAAAACTCATCAACTACACATCCATGCTGAGAAGTGTCTTTCTACCTGCTTCTGCATTACGCAATGTTCTGGCCCAGCCCGGCTTTCTCCACCAAGTGAGAGATTCTGCCAAGCCCCAATTGAACCTCAAATCATTAACAGCTTCAGCAGCCTAGAATAACCCCCATCCGCCACAAATCCACGATGCCGCTCGAACGCTCAACAGACCCTTTGGTCTGGATCGACTGCGAGGTATGGCCAAACACCCCATCTCCAATAGAAATCCCCGTACAACGCGTTTCGCAATCCCCAACCACTAACCTCTTCCACAAGATGACAGGCCTGGACCCGGAAACCGACAAAATCCTCCAGATCTGCTGTTTCATCACAGATTCCCAATTAAACCTCCTCGAACCGACCGGCTTCGAAACGATCATCAACGTCCCAGACTCCACCCTTGACGCGATGTCGCAGTGGTGCATCGACACACACGGACGCACGGGCCTCACCGCCGCCGTGCGCGCCTCGACCACCTCCCCCTCCACCGCCGCAGAGTCCCTCCTCGCCTACATCCGCCAGCACATCCCGGTCCCACGCACTGCCCTGCTCGCGGGAAATAGTGTTCACGCAGATAAGGCTTTCCTTGCTTGTGCGCCGTACTCGCAGGTGCTAGATCATCTACATTATCGCATTCTAGATGTTAGTTCATTAAAGGAAGCAGCGCGGAGGTGGGGCAGTGATCAGATGCTTGAACAGGTCCCGGCTAAGCGGGAGGTTCATCTTGCTAGGGATGATATTCTTGAAAGTATTGAGGAGATCCGGTTTTACAAGGAGAAGCTGTTTGGGTGATGGCGTGGCTGATATGGTGGCTTGCTTGTCTCTGTTACTCTGAGACATGGGTCTGACAAGTAGTTTAAAACTCTGCATGCTGAAATTAGTCTTGATTATCTTTCCCTAGAGTGAGTAGATGCCATACAATATACACCGTACACTTCTTACATGTACAATATACTTCAGAAACATGTTGTACAAGAGTGTTTTGATTCCCCCCCGGGAATGATCTGCGGGGGGGCAATTCGAAAGAGTTGAGTTACTAGCAGATAGCTTCTAGATTGGACTAAATAGAACAAATCACGGAGTCTTGAACTATACGAAGCACAGACATATTTAAATTAGTGGCAAACTACAAGAGTACTAGTTAGTGGGATGATAAACACATGACGCCAAACATTGGCCCCTCCCCGTGGAGCTCAACAAGTCGGTGAACTTCCTCAACTTCTTTCCCCCCCCCCTTCTTCTTTACTCCTTACTACTCTCTTTCCCTCTATTATTGCATCATGTCCGTCCAAACGGTCTCCATCCAGCCCTTCACTGACCAGAAGCCTGGAACGTACGTTGCTCGTTGCCCCGCAATTGAAACTGCTAGCTAACTTGCTCCCAGCTCCGGCCTCCGCAAGAAGGTCAAGGTCTTCCAGCAGGACAACTACTCCGAATCATTCATCACTAGCATCCTTCTGTCAATCCCCGAGGGTGTTGAGGGCTCCTTCCTTGTCATTGGTGGCGATGGCCGTTACTACAACCCCGAGGTCATCTCCAAGATCGCAAAGATCAGTGCCGCCTATGGCGTCAAGAAGCTCCTGGTTGGACAGCATGGCATTATGAGCACCCCGGCTGCTAGCAACCTCATTCGCGTGAGAAAGGCAACTGGTGGTATCCTCTTGACTGCCAGTCACAACCCCGGTGGTAAGTGGTGAACGATGACAATATCCGATGGAGGCTGACCAAACGTCACCAGGCCCCGAGAACGACTTTGGTATTAAGTACAACTTGGCCAACGGTGCCCCCGCCCCCGAGGGTGTTACCAACAAGATCTTCGAGACCGCAAAGACCCTCACCTCCTACAAATACCTCGATGTTCCCGATGTCGATACTTCCACTATCGGCACCAAGAACTACGGCCCCCTCGAGGTTGAGATTGTTCACTCTACTGCCGACTACGTGACCATGATGAAGGAGATCTTTGATTTCGATTTGATCAAGGAGTTCCTTAGCTCCCACAAGGACTTCAAGGTCCTGTTCGATGGCATGCACGGTGTGACCGGACCCTACGGCGTGGATATTTTCGTCAAGGAGCTCGGTCTGCCCACCAGCAGCACAATGAACTGCCAGCCCAAGCCGGACTTTGGCGGCGGTCACCCCGACCCCAACCTCGTGTACGCCCACGAGCTCGTCGAGGCCGTTGACGCGAACGGCGTGCACTTCGGTGCCGCCAGTGATGGTGACGGTGACCGTAACATGATCTACGGTGCCAACAGCTTCGTCTCCCCCGGTGACAGCTTGGCCATCATCGCCCACCACGCCAAGCTCATCCCCTACTTCCAGAAGCAGGGTGTCTACGGCCTGGCTCGCTCCATGCCCACCTCCGGAGCCGTAGACCGCGTGGCTAAGGCCCAAGGTCTGCAGAGCTACGAGGTTCCTACCGGCTGGAAATTCTTCTGCAATCTGTTCGACGAGAAGAAGATGTCGATCTGTGGCGAAGAGAGCTTCGGCACGGGCAGCAACCACATCCGCGAGAAGGACGGCCTGTGGGCCGTTGTGGCCTGGTTGAACATCATTGCCGGTGTCGCCAAGCAAAAGCCCAACGAGACCCCCAGCATCGGCTCCATTCAGAACGAGTTCTGGGAGACCTACGGCCGCACCTTCTTCACCCGCTATGACTTCGAGAACGTCGACAGCGAGGGCGCTAACAAGGTCGTCGGCACTCTGTCCGATCTGGTCGCCAACCGCGACACCTTCGTTGGCTCCGAGATCGCCGGCCGCAAGGTCCTCGACGCTGGCAACTTCTCCTACACCGACCTCGACGGTAGCGTCTCCAAGAACCAGGGCCTGTATGTCAAGTTCGATGATGGCAGCCGGATGGTCGTTCGTCTGTCCGGCACCGGCAGCAGCGGTGCTACTATCCGTCTTTACGTTGAGCGCTACGAGGCCGACAAGTCCAAGTTCGGTCTCACTGCTCAGGAGTACCTGGCTGATAACATCTCGCTGGCCCTCTCTCTCCTCAAGTTCAAGGAGTATGTTGGCCGCGAGGAGCCTGATGTTAAGACCTAAATTCGGTTAGGCTGTTAGGGTTAATGTGGAACCTGCTGGATGGGGATCACCTTTTAATTGTCTCGCAGTTATATCTGAACACGAGAAGAATGATGATCGAAAAGCAGGACCAAGATCAAAAGATTATACGTTGGCATGAGATAGAAACTGCGTCTTTAGCATAATCCAAGCCTGTCTTGTCTTAAATTCGGACCTCCAGATCTGTGAAGTCAATGAATTATATGCATGGCCAGTAAACAAAAAATATCATAGAATCGTATAATCGTATAATCGTAAATCATCCAACCCTTGCACCTAATTATGCCTTCCACGCAGTAGCAGAAACCTTCAACTTCTCCCCCCACCAGCTCTCCCACTTAATAACCCTCTCTCCCCTCCTCGCCTCCTCAGCCGCAAAAACAGCAGCATGACTCCGAACCACCTCTTCAAGCGAACATCCAACAAACCTCGCTTGTGCCGTCTCAACATCTAATCCCCCTTCAACAGCCCCAACAGCACTAACAAACTGCCTCGCAAGTCCAAAGTCTCCACCGCCATGGGACTCCTTCTGCCCCGGCGGCGGCTTCGGCACATCAAAAACGGAAGTCTTCGCCGTAGCAAAATCATAAACAGAAATCGTGCTACTATCATACGAAACCTCACCAGTTGTACCATAAACCCGGCCCCGACGCTCACACTGTTTCTCCGTAGGCGCAATCATATGGAAACTCGCCGTTTTAGCAGGCCGATGCGGTGCCACCTCCTCATCATCCCAAACAAACGTCACAACCTGATCGTCGCAGACATCGTTATCGGCTTCGTATACGCACCGCCCGTACCATGGCCGCGCAGCAATATCCGAGTCCGACATCGTATCCCGATCATAGTCCTCGCCAAGACGGGAGAGGAGTAGTGACTCGGCGGCCTTGCCGCCTTGCGTCCGGAACACATCTTCTATATCCGGGGAAACAATTTTAACCGGCCAAGACGTGTGACCCGTCGCGAGATGGCGGTCGTTATATATTTTAACCGCGCTGTAGTTACAGTCGCGTTCAGCGGGGCAGGAGAGACAGTTTGTAGCGCTACCTGCGGCGACGGGCTTACGCTTTTGGCGGAACTGCGTCATCGTGCCGACGGAGGAGATCGAGCGCGGGAGGTGCGGCTTGTGGTCTTCTTTGGATGCTGTTTCAGGTGAGGGCGGGGAGCAGAGGAGCCAGAAGATGAAGTCGATGTCGTGGCAGGATTTTGTGAGGAGGGAGCCGTCGCCTGCTGGTGTTGCGCGTCGCCAGTTGCCCCGGACATAGCTGTGCGAGAAGTGCCACCAGCCTACCGGCTCGCAATGCTCTAGGGAGACTATGTCGCCGATTACGCGGTCTGTGAGGAGGAGTTTGCGGAGGAGGATGTTGTGCGGGCTGTAGCGGAGGACATGGCCGATTGAGAATATGTTCTTTGGGGCTTGGGGGATGTTGTTTGGGCCTTCTGGTGGTTGGAGGGCTCGGTACACTGTTAAACAGTCGTCTAGCGAGAGAGCCAGTGGCTTCTCGCAGAGAATGTGTAGCTGGAGCGGGGCGAGGGCTTGTAGGATCTCGACATGTGTTTCGTCTAGTGTGCAGACGAAGACTCCGTCTACGCCCACGGGAGTTGGGGTTGTCTCTGTTGCGTTATTGTCGTTGGTTTGGATCGCCCGCTTCCGTCGCTCGAGTTCCCACTGCATCCATTCGCGCCAATCGGTGAATTCCTGGCCCTCTTGGGGGGATTGAGATACCCCCCATATGTATTTTCGTCCGAAATCGCGCCGTTTGAAGGCGTGGGGCTCGGCGACTGCGTGGATTACGGCCGGTGTGACGGTTGTGACAGCGCGAGCGTAGGCGTTTCCGCGAGAGCCCCCGCCGATGACAAGGAAGCGTAGTTGCTTCGGTGATGAAGACGAGGTGGTAATAGTATCCGTGGGAGGTGGAATTGGCTCTTTCATGTTGTGATCGAAGTACGAGGATGAGGGGAAGAAGTTAGAGCTCTGTTGTTTTCGATCTAGTGATATGACCACTTATGGGCTTCTCTGATAACCTATGATCCTGTTAGAGGCAAAGAGTAGAAATATATATAACCAACAAAGGGTTCGAGATACGAGAGGCAACCTTTGAAGTTGCAATTTGGACGCGTTGTAACGTTGTAACTGCGGGGGAAACATCAGCAAGATCAGCCGGGCTCTGATTGGCCAACATGGCCACTATATTATATTTGTTGAAGTCTATTTGTCTCTGTCTTCTTTTTACTGTCAATCTCCAACTCATCCTCCTTGTCGAAAATCATAGCAACCTCTTCCAAAGACCGCCCTTTCGTCTCGGGGAAGAGGAAGTATATGAGACCCAAAAACACTACCAGACAGCCAAGAAAGACACAGTAATACTTCCATGCAATCGCCGTAAACGCCACTGGGTTGACATATTGGTTGAAAAAGCATGCCACAGCATCCACAGAAAGAGTGACAGCAATGCCCTTGGCACGCAGCTGGAAAGGTAGAATTTCAGCTGGATACGAGATGAACAAAGGCGCATAGGCGATGTCATATGCTCCGAAAAAGAGAAATAGGAGTGGAACTACAGCTATTCCAGCAGCAGGAAGATTTCTTTCGGCGAACAGACCAGCGGCCAGTGTGGACATGGACAGGAAAACGATCATGGCCCCCGTGGAAATAAGCCATAGAATGCGGCGGCCGTATCGCTCCGATGCAAGTGCACCGGCTGCCGCAAGGAGAAAGTTCCAGCCATTGAGGCTAACATTCACAGCTGCTTGGTCAGCTGCCTTGGTAATTCCCACTGATTTGAGAATCGGCGCGAGGTAGTAGGACAGGAGACCTGCAATACTGTCAGTGACAAGATGTTCTTAGGGGCGTTGTGGGGTGCATACCATTTCCAGCCCATTCCTGCATGAGTCCAACTAATACGCAGATGGTCAATCGGTGCATATTGCCTTTTGACGAGAAGAAGAAGCTCCAGTTCCTGGTATCGGTAATCTCGGCTGTGATTGTGCTGCATATCAAACGGTACTCATACTGGACCAGCTCGTCGTCTGTATCTCCATTCGCGTGGTACTTCCCCAGAATATCTAGGGCTTCATATTTCCTGCCCTTGGATACCAGCCATCTCGGACTTTCGGGCACAAATAACATCAGCCCTAGGAGCTGAAATAACGGATACGATATTTGTAGCAGACAAGGAACTCTCCATGACCAGCTGTTTGCTATGCCTATGGTTGCATACGTAACCGCTGCCGAGCTAATGGCGCCCAGATTCCAGGATGCATTGTAGAGGGCCGTGGCCGTCTGTCGCTGTCGAGGGTGTGCGATCTCAGTGGCCAGGAGAGGAGCCGCAGTCTGGGTGATTCCCATTCCGATACCTGACAAGACTCTCGTGCCGAAAAAGGCCCAGTGGCTTTTTACTGCGGTTTGGATGATCGCTCCCACGATAACAATGCTAGAACCAACGCAAACGCATGTCTTACGTCCAAACCTATCGGCGATATAAGAGGCTGGTGCAAACGAGACCAACGCCCCCAGAGAAGTGGCAGCAATTATCAGCCCAACTATACTGGGATCCAGCCCGCCAATGATGGTACCAACTATGTCATGATCAGCACAAACATCACAGTATCAAGATGGAGACATTACACTCAGGCAGCACAAGCAAGCTATTCACAAGATTTCCAATATACCCAGCCGAAGAAGCAGTGGAGAACATGAACACGATACCCATGTTCAATTTACGGAGCCCCCTGTCTTTGATCCAATTCGGATTTGTGTTGTTCGGCAGGAGCTTGAATGCCTCCATTTCAGGCACCTTCTCCAATGTATCTGTCTTCGTCGCCATCTTGTGTGCTCTCTCAAATCCCGGGCTTGGTGGATAAAGTGAATTTGAATTATATAGACTCAAGTCTTGCCCCTCGCCATGCTATACCAGCTGCTTATATCACAAAATTATGCAGAACAAGGGATCATCCACATTCTTCCGACCCAACAGACCTCCAGCCTTCCCCGGACGATCCTCGATTAGTTTCAAGATAACCCTGGTCACTACGACATAAATGCACGGAATGAAGGGAGGAATGCCAGATTCAACCACCCAAACAGCCAATGTTACCAGCGCAGAAGTCCCACCACCTCCGATCACCTCGTCACGGCGCCCAAAAATCATGATCTGCAGTCCAAAGGAACAATTCTATTGTGCGTTATGATACCACCCACTGCCACAGCGGTGTGAGACAAATTTTCATTCATCGCACTCCCCAAGCAGCGAAACATACCGGTTCCCATGCCCACAGAACCCCTCACACTGCTCACCAACGTCCCTCCCCTTATGTAAAAACTCCTCCATGGCCCATGCAACGCGTTCCGCGCCCACTCTCGCGCCCTCGAGATTCGGCGCCCCGGGCCCAAGCCGGAGAGACGCCATGCGGCCCGTCATAAATAAGGGTACGTCATCCCGCCACGCCAGATCGTTCGTCAAACACGGTAGACCTGACTTGACCTCAATTGGGTATTGATCGTTCATTGCGCTGAGCAGCGGCATCTCGCGCACGTCCGCCCGCGCTCCGGTTGCGAAGTAGATGTAGTCGATTTCGGGGAGTTCGGGGATTGGTGGGTCTGTCGTTAAAGTCCAGGTCTGGGTGGCTGCGTTGTAGTTGTGAGTTTTGATTTCTGTGTATAGGTGGATGGAGGCACGGTTTTGTGCTGCGTGCTGCTTTACAATCTTTGTGTAGCGTGGTGTAATGCTACCACCATTTCGGGCGGTTTGGAGCATCTCAAGGCGCTCTGGGGGATGTTAATATCGGTTCTTCCATGGGGTTGGGGGCTTTTTTTTTTATATATACCTTCGTCGGTGTCGGCGGACCAGAAGGCTGCTTTCTCCCAGTTCTTGTACTTGCCCATCCAGGACAGACTGATGTCGAAGTGTTTGACTGTTGGTTGAGTGAGACATTTTCCAAAACAGTACTTGCCGGGGATGCTACACATACCTTTCATGCCAGACCGCATCAAAAACCACACTTTGGTTACGCCCTTGCGAACCGCCATATCGACAATCTGTGCTGACGACAGCCCGCCTCCAACAACGACAACATTGGTCTCTTGCCGCCGCTGGATTTTGTTCTGTACATTGGGACTGGGAAATGACTTGATCTCCGTGCTATGGCAACATGCTGCGGCGCCTTCTTGCTCCGTCGAGGGCTTCCATGGATAAATCTTCGATACACTTGCTCCGCCAGGACCGATAGCAAGGACAACAGCCCGACTATAAAACTTCTCCCCTGTGGATGTTGTAACGGTGAACACCTTCGAGTCTGAGCTATCGGAGAGATAGTTATATGAGAGATCCGTGGCCTCGCGCTGCAAGATCTGACCGGGCTTATTCAAACCATACCGCCGGATGATCGACGAACAATAATCCGAAAAGAGGTCTGTGGAAGGCGAGAAGTAGTCTTTTCGATCTCGTTCGTCAATCTCGGTTCCTATTGTTCTGTTTACAAGGATATAATGATTAGAGGTCTATTTCAACCATATTCGCAAGGACACAACTTACTGAGTCTTCCCGCCCTGTCTCATCTTCTTCTTCTTATGCTTGCTCATCTCCTTCCCAACACACCCGGGAATCTCCCATAAATCTGCATCTCTCCCACTCTCCTGTGTATAAGCCAGCATACCATCCCGATCACCGGGATCAACATGGAAGAACATCGGGCTGCGGAGCTGTTTGATCTCTAGCGTGCGGAACGCATTGTTCCACCGCTGCATCCATTTATCCCCAGAGCCGTCGAGGACTAAAGTTGAGATAGATGATGTCGACGATGTTGACGACGCGGATGACAGCGATGGCACAGAAGATGCAGAGTCAGCCGAGCTGCGCCGTTGTCGGTCATCTTGACAAGGGCATCCGCGTTCACTATCCCATTTTGCAGCTGGAACCCCGTTGATCTTGCTGTGTCGTCCTTGTACCAGACTCATTCGTCCGCTATGTTTCTTGATCCAGTGGTAGCGCTGGTGTTCTTCGTCTGTGAAAACTGCTGATGGTGTTTCTTCGCTTAGGCGCGCGGCGACGGCGAGGCCGCATGGCCCTGCGCCGATGATTATTACGTCGCGAATTTCACGGTCTTCTGGTAATTGGGATGAGAACATTTTAGAACGGCGAGGTAGGGTTGGAGTAATGGTGTGTGATAGAGACGTAGTAGTTATAGTACTTCAGGGCTGAATGGAATAGTAAGTTTACAAGAACGTACGATTATGGGGCTAATATCTTTCTTTTGTAGTTTACTAGCATAGCTGTATTTCTCTAATGTCCTCACGGGTTGACCATCGAGGTACTCGTCCCCAAGGTCCTTGGAGCATGACACCATGAAGGAACAGCTTCATGCTCCACAATTAACATGACCGATGTGATGGTTTATTCAAGTCAATCTCTGAGGACCTTAGGGATGTCTTCAATCATTTTAGATTTAATATTCGGACCTTTCGGGCGTAATATAGTGTTTGGTTTATAGATACACTACAAAGACTTATTATACGACATTTTCTTGCATTCCACCTGGGCCGATGTTAGATTTATCTAAGATTTTGAATTAGCCGCGGGCATTACACAACTTAGAGGGTGTAAATCTACTGAGGTTTACTATGTAGGCTTGATGCCATCCCAACCTTTCAACGGGATCTCTTGAATGAGAAATGTTAATCGGCCATGTGTACTCCGGCAGAGAAGAGCTGGACAGCGGCATGAGCGTATAAATCACAGCAGGCGACCATGACAGAAGAGTTTCCCTACAGGATAATCACTCAGAGCCTCAACCACCATGCCTTCCTTTAACCTGTATCTTCTGGCAACAAGCTTGACTCTGTCGTCGGCCTTTGCCAAGCCCAATGTCGTCCCCCGTGACGACACCCCCCAACTACCCTATGATTCAAACACCACTCCATACTGCACTTTGTGGGTAGACGATGATAGTTCAAGCAAGTGTGCTGATATCCCTGGCTATTGGGCTATATCGATGGACGACTTTGTCCGATGGGTAACTCGCTTCCTCCAAACCGTTTTTTTTTTCTCCAATGACTAATCTCTCCAGAGCCCATCCGTGAGTAAATACTGTACAGGATCTTTGTAGAACAGAAATGAAGACAAGTAAATTATATATGGAAAGGAATATTTGCAAGGGGGAATAACAAACACAAAAAGCCACCAAGAAAAGAAAAGCGAGACCGAAACATACTCAAAACTCCAAACCTCATAGAAATCAAACCTCCAAACCCACGCCTAACACAAAAACACTTATTGATGCCATTTCTTCTTCGTCCCAGGCTTCGCCCTAGACGCACCCCCCTCCCTCCGATGCCAAGGATCTAACGGCCAAACCCACCCCCTCACCCTCTTAGCATCCCTCCTCTCCCCAATCTGTGGCTCAGGAATCCACTTATCCTTCGCCTCCGCCAGAATCCTCTGGCGAGTCATCGCACCAGGTCCGCCAACGTTGAGGTGAGCAGAGGGCTGGTGCGGAAGCGGCACCGACTTTGAAAGCATCAACAAGAAGTACAACCCCAGCCCCGCTGTCATAGCTGGCATCGCATCCTCAAGCGGCTCAGGATCTGACGAGTCATGATGTGGGGGGAATGACGAGCTTGACGATGACGAGAAAGAGCGCTCGCTGATGGGCGTTGCGAGCGGTGCGTCCCGCATGTGTGTGTGCGCGCTCCTCCCAGCGCCAGCTGCTGTCTTGAGTGGGATTGAAGCCGCGATCTCTAGGTATCCGAAGTAGGGGACGTCGTCGCCGGTGTCGCAGCCTGCTCGCACGCAGACGAGCTCGATCTCAGTGATTATGAAGCCGTAACGACAGGAGTGCTCGCGCATGCAGCGCTGGAGGTGGGCGAGTCCATTGAGGTATTCTACCCGTCTGTGGGGTGCTTCGTTGCGCATGCCGGTATTCCAACGGTCGAAGCTTTTCACGATGCCGACTAGTCGGCCGCGTGGGAGACCGGCGCTTGTTTGCTCGGTGTCCGAGAGGTAGTTTGCTAAGAAGTGCGGGTGGCCGTGGTTTTTGTGGCCTGTGTTGCGGACGTCTGGGGCGGCGTAGAGCTGGAGGTGGTCTTTGCCTTGGGAGACGGCAAGGGCGGCGTTTATGCGTGGTGCGTAGAGGTCGCGGATTAGACTCACTAGATCGTTCTCGGACACTGGCGCTAGGCTTTCTGAGGGTACGGCCACGTGAGGTGTGAGCTCTGCTGGGATTTCGGTCTTGAGGAGCTGGATTAGTCGGCTGTCTAGAGAGTCAAATGTCGCCAGTGAGAAGGAGCTCCAGCTGCGCAGGTTGCGGATGTCCCACCAAAAGTAATCGTGCAGGCCGCGAGTCGGAACTACGCTCACGTTGCGGACTAGGTTGATTGGTTGGATTGGTAGGGTTAGGTATGACAGTAGAGTTGTAGAGCGTGGAGGCAGGTCTTCCTGGGGACTGAGTAAGACTGGTGAATGCTGGGCAGCCGATGCCTGGCGGTAGTTGTATTGAGGTGTTGGCACTGTCAATGGAGTTTGTGTGCTTGCAGGAGTATGCTGGCCCCCTATTCGTTGGGAGTATGATGAGTAGGGCATGATGTTTGGAGTGACTGGGGTGACTGGGGTCGTCGGGGTCGTCTGGGCATGCATTTGAGGCACATATTTTGGCAGTTCTCGGTATGTGGGATACCCAAATCCAGCCAGACTCGCGCCATCGATGACAGATGCCGACACCGAGCGTGAGTGGCCCCCGCCTGACTTGCGCTTGTATGACGGGGTGATTGTCACAGGCGATGACAGCGCAGAGAGGCTGCCCTGTGTAGGTATTGGCACTGGCGAGATAGGAGAGGCCAATGTCAAACGGTCAGCGACCTCGCGCGTGCGACGGCTAATAGATGGCCGTGCCGGTGGGTAAGGGATAAATCCAGGCGGGTTCCGTGTATTGGACAGAACCCGAGGGTGACGAATAGGCCCGCCAGCAGATACTGGCTCGATCACGATGTCTTGAGGTCGGATCTTAGGCAATAGCTTAGGGCCATGGTGATGTCTGGTTGGCGAGGTGGTAGGACTGGTATTTCCAGTCATAGTCGACCAGGGAGATGACTCGCTTGAATAGATGGAACAGTTGGAGGCATGACGACTATGTCCAGAGTCGATGTATTCTTCAAGAGAAAGCCGCGGCGGCGTCGTTGGCCGAAAGCGAGTGGAGTCGACAGCAGACATGATAGTAAACTTGTTGAGTAGATGTGTCACCAATAACAATCTATCATAAGAGTAACAAACGAATGAAGCAACTGATGTCTTGTTGACCAAGTCGTTCAGAAAGGCATGATCCAGAAGGAGGATGTTTGGATATTAAATGGACATCGATAGAGTCTCAAACAGCCAAGCCTGATGCATATAAAAAGATTGACTGACGAACCCTAGCCGATCTAGAAAAGATGAAACATGGAGAAGAGCCCCATTGTAACGCCTACGAAGCTAGAGAATCTTTTTTTGGGATCCTAGTCTCCGATCAGAGGCACGTCCACTCGATGAAACACGAAACTGCCGACATTTTGGCTGAAGGACAGGCATGTTGAGCAACAGGGCCCTTGAAACTGCCCCTCCGAGGAGGTCCAGTCCGGCATAGTGCGGTTTCATCGGACTGTCGCGCGTCAAGATGTTACTATATTTTGCATCTTCTTCAATATCATTCTTCAGATTCCCTAAAATGGTTAGCCTGCTGCAAGTTTCTCACAATGTTCTAAAAACGGCAACAATTAGGTCACATTTCCAGGTAATTAGCGGACTTGTTGGTGACTGGACAGTCCCTGAGGACTCGCGGGGTCAGCGGTTAAAGGTTCCAAGAAAGCAAATGGATAAAAATAGCAATCGGGATCATGGAATGTGTGATTCCAGGGTCTAATCAGGGTAAAAGGACTCTTTGATGGGAGGGTACCTGCTCTAGATGCGCCAGTGGCCGAATGTGATATCGAAGTCGGCGGCTACATGTGTGGGATGAGTTTGAAGTACGCGCCGAGCACCGGCGTCATATCCAGTGATTGGACAACTTGATCGTGAAACTGAAAAATTTCCCATAATTAGCAACAATTATGCAGTGAAGTTCATGCAAGAGACATCTGTAAAGAGGTTGAGGTCAAATCGGGGGGATCAAAACATAACCGCGCATTGACCCCTGGGGATGGTTTCACTGTTCGTACGTAGTTAAGTAATCCTTTTTAGGCACAAGAGTGATTTGGAAATTCATCTCATTAATTTGTTTAATTATTTCATGACATTCATTTCATGTGGGTCGAAATGATTAACACCCAACCGAAAGAGTAAAGAAAAAGAAAAAAAAAAAAAAAAAGGTCTCAAAACCCGGTGGTCTATGTACCTTGACAAAACACTCAAAACGCTCGGGGGAATCTCTCTGAACCGTCTAAACAACACATCGAACGGTAAAGGCAATCGCAGGAACATCAAAATTTCAAGCCTTGATCTCGTACTTGCGGCGGAACATGTCATCCACCTCAGTCAGGTAGTAGACACCGGATCCAATAGTCTCGGTGCTACCAGCGGGCTTGAAGTTCTTCTTCAGGTGGGCGTGCTCACGGAGCTTGCACATGGCATCGTACGCAGCAGGCTCGAGGATAGTGCGGGCATTGAGACGCTTCTGGAGGTCAAGCTTCTCAACAATACCGGACACATCGCCAACAATCTTGGCGCTGAACATAGAGCTGGCAAGACCGGAACCGTAGCTGAACAGACCGATGCGCTTGACCTCCTTGGGGTCGAAAGCGACGTTGCTGAGCAGACTGGCCAAACCGCCGTAAACGGTGGCAGTGTACATGTTACCACACTGGGTGGCGACCTGGAGACCGGGGTTGACGCGCTCGGCAAAACGCTTCTTGGTCAGACCCATGAAGGTCTTCTCAACAACCTTGTCGGTAAGAGAGGTCTCGTAGTCGAGGTCGCGGAGCTCAGGGGCAACCTCGGCGAAAGCGGGGTGCGAGGGGTTGGCCAGGTAGTCATTGTAGAGCATACGAGCGTAGGACTTCTGAACGAGCTTGCAGGTAGGGGCGTGGAAGAGAATGTAGTCGAAGCGGTCCAGGGGGGAGAGGGACTCGTCGGTGGCACCGTTGGTACCGTTGGCCTGGGCCTTCAGGGTCTTCTCGCGGGCGTCGTAAGCCTTGTAGCAGGCATCGACAGCCTCGGTGTAGCACCGAAGGGAGTAGTGACCGTCGACAACGGGGTACTCGCTGGTAAGGTCGGGCTTATAGAAATCGTAGGCGTGGGTGAGGTAGGAGGCACGGAGACCGGCCTCGAAGACGATAGGGGCATCGGGGCCAATGACCATGGCCACGCAACCAGCACCACCAGTGGGGCGGGCAGCACCAGCGGCGTACAGAGCAATATCACCGCAGACTACAACGGCATCACGGCCATCCCAGGCGGAGGACTCGACCCAGTTGATGCTGTTGAAGACAGCGTTGGTGCCACCGTAGCAGGCGTTGACGTTGTCGACACCCTCAATGTTGGTGTTTCCGTGAGGAGCGAAAAGCTGCATGAGGACGGACTTGACGGACTTGGACTTGTCCAGAAGGGTCTCAGTGCCAACTTCGAGTCTTCCAACGGACATAGGGTCGACGTTGTATTTCTTCATGAGGGAGGAGAGGACGGTGAGGGTCATGGAGTAGATGTCTGCGAAGAACTATTAGGCTGATTGATCTTGCTCTCTGGAATTGGTGTACATACCCTCACGGTCATCACAGAAGCTCATCTTGGTCTGTCCGAGACCGATGGTGTATTTTCCGGCGGAGACGCCATCGTACTTCTCCAACTCAACCTGGTCGACACACTACAATTGACATGTCAGTATAGATCCTCAGGTGATAAGATCCAGTGAAACTCACCTGAGTGGGGAAGTAGACCTCAATGGCCTTGATGCCGATGTTTTGAGGACGAGTAGCCATGGTGGGGTATGGAGGGGCAAGGAGAAAACGAGGTAAGAAGGAAAGATGAAGTAGAGGGATAGGAGAAGAAGATGAAGATTTAGAAAAGAAGCCGAAGAGAAGGCGATTGAAGGCGATTGATATAAGAATGAAAAGGAGTCTGTGTACTCGGTTCTACCGTGTACGATCTGTCACCACTTAATATTTTTTTTTTCCCTTTTTTTTTCCCAAGTGGGGAGATCTACCCTTTTCTAGTGACCTTTACGTTTCCTTTGGGCCGGATAATTGCCTGGGAGATATATAATTGGTACAGAATACATAGTGAAACTATTGTGTATAACCGGGAGCTTCAAACTTCACTCTAACAAATGGCAATGCCAAATACCAAATAGGGTAAGTGTAAGTAGGCAATAGTAAGTAGGAAACAGTAAGTAGGAAATAGTTCTATCTACACCTGTACTCTACGTGGCTTTAGAAAAAAAACCGCTCAACATCTATAAAGCTACGGTGTAGAATTGAGTCCATCTTATCGATCTGTCCCCACTTGTCCCTTTCAGGGTTCAACGTTTCCTGAGATCTTTTAATGTCCTTTCATAGAGCGTCATTCACAATATGGCCTCTTCTATGCCTCGAATCATTAGTGGAGATCAAGTGGCACTTCGGGTCTGGATATTCATGGCGGGCCTGGAACTTGCTTTCTCTATTTTTAAGACTGTTCTATTTGAATGTTCTCACTTCCCTTTCAGTCTTCCCATTATTCTATATGTCGATATCCTTATTTTATATCTTTGACGTGGAGTATGTAGCATAAGAACATCTGCATGACGCTGTATTTCCGAGATCTTATATATAAAGAAAAGAAACTCCCAAATCTATGATTTGAAATGTTCTAATATACTAATCTTTAGAATACTGGACATACAAGAATGTGAATGCTCTCGAATGTCTAATTCCATGATGCGTAATGAAAGTTGCCAAGCGTGGGTCACTTTCACTCCGGGGCGTCTGCCTATCTCCTGTCTCTCTCCTATACCACTCCCATCAAACTCCGGACTTGCTCACTTTTCGGCATATGATGTCGGTCGTCGCTCATTTCCCATTATTTTACAGATCATGATCCTCCGGATCTCCGCACCCGCGCTACACCCTTCTTACAGCTCTCCGGAGCCCCGTATCTCCCACAATGGGCGACGAGAAGTTTGACTATCAGGCCGTCCCTATCCCTTCCTACGCTGAAGCCACCGGCCATCCCTCCTCCTCTCGATCCGACCTCGGTGACGGAACAGATGTTGAACGACAGGGGCTACTCGGTCGCGACCATGCCTCCACCCGAGGCTACCACCCACCAACCGTGGAATCGGCGCGCTCCAGCCTCGATGGCCTCGAATCATCGACAACACGCTCAAATCGAGAGTCGGTGGAGGAACTACGACGGGAACTAGATCAAATGGACGTGGATGATTCCGCATCGGCTTCCTTGACCGGCAGACGACCCCCCTACGACATCGTTTTTCCAAGCAGCTATCGAGTCTGAGCCGTACGCTGTCCGCTATCCAACGACCCTTCCAACGATATATGCCCAGTTTCCGTTTCACAATAAACCTCAGTGACACGAGGTCACGCTTAAAAGACCAGGGGTGCATCATGCTTCTCCGAGTGTTCGCTCTTTTACTAGTGGTCACCCTAGTGTATGTGTTCTTCATCGCAGATGTCTTCAATATAAACAGCCGCATGTCCATGGGCCAGTCCTATAGCGCCGCCTCCGTCGAGAACTTCATTCAAGGTCACATCAACGAGACCAAGATTGCCGAAAACTTACGACGAGTCACCAACTACACCCACGTAGCTGGCACGGAGGGCAGCTTTGCGCTATCACAATTGATTGAACAAGAGTTCCAGAAAGCAGGATTTGATGAAGTGTCGCGAGAGGAATTCCAGGTCTACCTCAACTATCCACGCAAGGATGGGAGGAGAGTCGCAATAATCGATCCACCCAGTCTAGCTTGGGAGGCGAAACTCGAAGAGGATAATGCCAAGGACTTGATTTTTCATGGACATTCGAAATCGGGCAATGTCACTGGGCATCTGGTTTATGCTAACTTCGGAGCCCGGGAAGATTTCAAACTTCTCACAGACAAAGGAATTTCACTCGAGGGCTCGATTGCCTTGGTCCGTTACTATGGGACCGAATCCGACCGCGCATTAAAAATCAAGGCCGCTGAATTGGCCGGGGCGGCCGGCTGTATCATCTACTCCGACCCCTCCCAAGACGGATTTGTTAGAGGCCCGGCCTTCCCCGACGGGCGGTACATGCCAAGCGATGGCGTGCAAAGGGGCGGTGTGAGTATGATGTCGCAGGTAGTTGGCGATGTTCTCAGCCCTGGATGGGCATCCACGCCGGGAGAAAAGCATCGTCTATCTCCCAAGGAAAGCCCTGGTTTACCCCAGATTCCCAGTCTTCCACTTGCTTGGCGTGATGCACAGAAACTTTTGCAGGGCCTCAAAGGCCACGGCTCCAAAGTACCAAAGGAATGGGTGGGTGGTGTTCCTGATATACAAGAGTGGTGGACGGGTGACCAAGACTCCCCCGTCGTTCATCTGATGAATCTGCAAGATGAAGTAGAGCGGCAACCTATTTACAACATTCACGGCAGGATCATCGGAATGGACGAGCGTGACAAGAAGATTATCGTTGGCAACCACCGAGATTCGTGGTGCATGGGAAGTGTTGACCCTGGAAGCGGCACTGCTACTTTCCTAGAGGTTGTACGAGCCTTTGGCGAGTTGCTCACCTACGGATGGCGGCCGCTTCGCACCATTGAATTTGTCAGTTGGGATGGAGAGGAGTATAATTTGATCGGCTCAACAGAACATGTCGAAAAGGAGATCGACGATCTCCGTGCGAATGCGTTTGCCTACCTAAATGTTGACGTGGGTGTTTCTGGGCCCGATTTCCAGGTGTCTGCGTCCCCCGTTTTTGAGCGCGCTGTGCTGCAGGTTCTGGGTCGTATCTCAGACCCCTATGCGAACGCGACACTGAAAGACCTTTGGGATCAAAAGGGCTCAAAGATCACGCCACTTGGCGCTGGAAGTGACTATGTTGCATTCCAGGACATCGCTGGCACCTCGAGCATTGACTTTGGATTTTCGGGCGAGCCCTATCCATACCACAGCTGCTACGAAACGTACGACTGGATGGTTAATTTTGCCGACCCCGATTTCCAATACCACAAAATCCTGGCTCAATTCTGGGGGCTTCTTGTCCTTGACCTTTCCGAGAACCCCATGCTGCCATTTGACCTAGAAGTCTACGGCGACTCGATTGGTGGATGGGTCAAAGACTTGGACAAATTTGCCAAATCAAAGAAGGCCGAGGTGGACATGCAACCCATGTTTAAAGCTGCGACCGAAATGAAAGCCAATGCTGTTACATTCCAGTCCTGGAACAAGGTCTGGCACGACACTGTGTGGGGCATGGGAGGGTATGAAAGCAATGTCATGGCAGTCCAGCGGGTCAACCATAATGCTCGAATGGCTGCCTTTGATACCAATCTACTTGACTTGGAGGAAGGCGGAGGTGTAAGTTGACGTTCTGCTTGATCCACCCCTCAGCCCCAGCTAACGACTTGTACAGATCCCCAACCGCACACAATTCCGACACGTCATCTTCGGTCCAGAGCTGTGGTCCGGCTACGACGCCTCGATCTTCCCTGCTATCCGCGACAGTATCAACACAGGCAACTGGACATTGACCCAATATTGGATCAACCGGGTCGCCAATACCATCCACCACGCCAGCGATAAGCTACTCCACTAATGTATTCTACCTTTCAGCCCCTTTCCTACTTGTTGCTCTTCTCAGCCTCGCTTCATCCACGCTTATCGGATTGATTATTTTGTCACGTTCTAAACGCGCACTGTACAGCCCGACACCTCCTACATTGTCGGGATACCTCTATACCTGGATTTTGGGAACTTCTTTCACACCCATTATATACCAAGCATGTCTTGAGCTCGCGGGATTTGGCTTCCTACTCTGTCCATTAGTTGCGTCATCCCCGCTTTTCTTGAATGTATCTAGCTTCTCATCCTTGTCCCGAGGGACCGGCGTTCATATGGGGATATATCACATTTCGTATCTAGCTTTTAACCTGCCAGTCCACATGGTTTGCTCACTTCAAGTGCTCAACCCCTAGGGTAGTACTTGCTTTTCAAGGAAATATTTTGTCTATCTAAAAATCAGGTGTTGCAGAATCTTCTTTCAGAGATTTACGCCTTCATTTTTCTCCCATGTAAAACAAGCCTTAGTTTTGTCGTACTGCCCACGGATACAGCAGGGTTTTAGGTCCATCGCGCCAACCTATGTACAAGCCCTTATAAGCATGAGACTATCTCGCTATTCTAAAACGAGAGTTTTATGAACTCGATATATGCCCTATTCCAAAACACTTATAATATGTAAATCGCTCGTATATCCCGTTGAAAAAGTCTAGCGCTACTATAAAACCCACTTTGTTATCATCTTTCTATCAGTCTTTCCAAGGTCTTTTAGAATATAACCGCTAATATAAAGAGACTATGTGTCATAGAAGATATATCTCTTTTGGTACTTAAATAGCGAACAATTTGGGAGTTACTTGGCAACGGCCGAGTGCTAATTCTAGACAAAACAAACTACAGACATGGGTACAATAGTAGAACTAGCGCTTACAGCACATGAATATCCAACAGGTTTGATCCAATGAAGAAGCGTTGCCCGTGAACTTTCCACTTTTTCTTGCAGATACCATCGCCCGGGCGTCTCGTATTTTTACTTAGATGCAAGCATGCCCAGGTGGGCTGGGTTGGGGTGAGATCATCACAGCCCTCTTATATTCTACTTCGCACAGTATGTATCCTTTATAAAAGTGGGCTTATCGTTTGAATTGCTTTTCCTGCCTGAGAGTCATGTCCGAGAAATATCCCCTTGATCCCCTTGATCTAGCCGAGACTGGAGATTTGTCCAAATTCTCAAAGCTCAAAGCTACACCTGTGCATACCGAGGTGGAGCCGCGACCAAATGCTTCGCAAGACGGTATAAGTCGCCATGCTGTGACTGCAGATATTGATGTCAACGAGCTGGACTTTGATTTCAACCTTACCACAGATGATTATCCACTAGGTGATCTCAGATCTCTCCAGCAAGTCTTTGATGCTGTGCAATACCATCGGCATTTAGAACGGGAGGAGAACTTTTCGATTAAAACTCGCGTGGAATGTCTCAAAGTTGATTCGCAGGGAGGAGGTAGGTCTCTGTATCATATATTTTCGGTTTTGGAGACTGATAGTATATCAAGAATGGCGAACACTTGACGAGGCCAACATGGATGACCTTTTACAGGTGACTTTTATCAACCCTATACTTGGAATTTAGCGGCTAAATATATAAAAAGTCCCATGCTATCAACCCCTTTCCAACTATTGAACCCTGTCCTGGTCGTAATATGCTCGTTTTGTGGGTGTTTCTGTGTTTTCCCCCCGCCGTTCTGAGACCTCATACTGACTTGTCTAGCTTTTGTCCCTTGGTGTTCAAAGAGGATACTTCATACGGTTCACGCGCTCTCATGACCCGAAGAAATGCCGAGAAACTCTTCGAGACACTACAAATCAATCCTATGTTTATGTTGAACATGCTTGGTCGGCCAGATTACTGGGCACCTCAATCCCATTTGGATGCAGATGATGACGGGAGATTGCTAGCTTGCGGTAAGACCAGGAGCATCAGACATCAAGACACCGAATGCTAATATCACAAAAGACTTTTGCATCCTCGTTGGAACCTCCAAGTTCAAGGGCCTCCGCTGTCTATCTACATGCGCCATGACATCGTTCGGGACTTGACAACATACATCATCTCGCATAAAGAGTTTGATACCACCATCACCACGCTCAAGTCTATACTGAACACTGCACTCAATGTGACTTCCGCAGTTAACAAACCAGCTGTCTTCTTGGATAGTCCATTTGACATCCATGCCATTGTTTCCACACTTTCCTTCGAACTTCTAAATTTCACGTCAAGCGTTTCCAGCGATTCATGTGGAAGCAGATGAACAAAGTTGAAGATCACTTTATGAACCTCGGGTTTAGCGATAACGCTAAGTTCGCAGACTTGGTAAAGCAGCTCCAAATCATGGCCTCAAATGCAGATTCACATATCGCCAATGCTGATATAGGAATCATCACGGCCAAAGCCATTCAAAAAGTCCACTCACGTCTCACCCCCTCGCTTTCTCGATCCAACCCCTTCATAAACCATCGAGCTGATGATTCAATAACCTATATTATCTCCTCCTTGGAAAAACAAAAACTTTGGTTCTTGAACTATAAGCAACGCAAAGATAGTGCTCTTTCCATGGCCCATAATCTCGTGACCCGGCAAGACGCCACCAACAACATGCAGATCTCTCATAGCATGAAGCAAGACTCTACATCCATGAATGCGATCGCTGCCCTGACAATGATCTTCCTGCCAGGTACCTTTGCAGGCACGGTGGTCGGTGCAGGGGTTTTTGGGGGTGCCATCAAAGAGACGGTATGGCTAATTTGGGTCGCAATTACAGTACCGCTTACGGCAGGGGTCATGATTTGCTGGTGGTTGTATAAGAAGCAAAGCGGCCAACAGTTAAGGGCAGCATAATGGATAAACACAGGGCTGATTCTGCGGAGTTGAGGACAATCCGTTTAGGAGGAAGTCCAGTGCTTTTTCCAGTGGCTCTTCGTTCTGAAGATTCAAGACCGGTATAGGCGATGATCTATAGTCCAGGCCAAATTACTGTTTTCTTGTACGGTATATGACATCAAATGAACAGCCTCATTTTAGCCCTACCCATATGGAATATGGAACTCACGTATGGGTCCATCAAACTAAACGGGAGGCAAAGAAGGCTCAATCACCAATAAAGACGGGTGATCCGCCAAACTCTGCCAAAACCCAGCCTCGAAATCCCACAAATCCTGACTCAACAGCGCGGCCCACTCATCACTCCCCTCAACCCCAGCCTGCTCAGGCAGAGGCTGCGCCGGGTCCGAATGAGTCGAGTCTAGAAAGCGCTGTATGGTCCGCGTAGCCTTAGAAAGCAACGCGTAATTCGGATCACCGGCTTTCACAATCGTTCCAATCTGCACTTCCGCTACAAAGACACTGAGATCTTGTAATGTCCGTGTCCGGTGCGCTCGTGGCATGTGCTGTTTCAGCATCGCCAGAAGCATTATCCCCGCAGCGGGGAGACCATAGTATGCAACCTAGTTAGTATTTATATTAGTTGAGTGGTTGAATTTGGGAGATTTATAGACAGCGTATGTTATATCAACATCAAGTCAATTGCATGCATACCTTCCAAATGAGACCCGTCCCAGAATTAGTAAGTTGATCCCGCAGCAGAATAATCTCCACCACAAGCGTGAGCATCTGACCCGCCGTCTCAATGATCGGTAGATCGGGCTCAGTCGGTGATTTAAGAAGCAAAAGACGGAGCAAGAATAGCACATGTAAGTGGTGCAGTCGTACGCCGGCGACAAAGTCTCGCTCAAAAGGCCCTTGTGTACATTGCTTCAGACTGCTCTCGAGTCGGAAGTGGGCTGGTAGGCGTTGCCACTGCATCTCTGCTTGGCGTTGTATCACGCTGTGCCATTTCTTAATTAGCCATGATTTTCGTTGAGATGGATGGCGCGGGTGTCGCTTTTGAATACCTTGCTCGTTGCGCACATGACGGATCGTGCTTGTCCTGAAGAAGCTCCCAAATCTCCTCCTTCAGCGATGCGCACAGCGCAGACCACCGCGTATCAGCCCGGTACCCGGACTCCGCGTCTGGAGTCCAGTCTGCTGAGCCTTCTTCTGCGTTCTGGCAGGATGGGACCTGGAAGTGGCAGAAACGTTTGTTCATTCGTGGCGGGCGGCCGAGGAATATTGCTATGTTCTTGTCCGCGGAGTAGATGCGCGCGAAGGCTGTTTTGCGCAGTTCCTTGAGGAATCGCGGGAGTCCTGGTTTTATTTCGATGTTCTCGTGATAGCCTAGGGCAAATGTGGATGATATAGCGTCACCCAGTTTGCGCCAGGAATGGTAGCCTTCGGAATGTTAATATATGGCTCAAGTAGAGGTAGTAACTGCGAATGAATGGCCGGTAGCTTACTCTGGTCTCCATCCACGTAGGAATGGACGATAAAATTCTCGTATTGCATGATCAGTTGTAGATCATTCAGACAATCTAGAGAGAGGGATATCTCCAATGCGAAGTCACAAAGTTTGGTACATAGTCTCCGGAGTGTGTACTGCTCTTGCGCAGTCATATATAGAGACGGGAAGAACGCAATGTCAATTGTCGCTCGACTGACAGCGGCAAAGAATATCCCTAACGTCTCCCAACGAGAATTGTGATCTAGAAATTGAGCCGAGAAACTAGCTAGGTCGGAGGTATCATTGAAGTGCAGCGGCTGGGCCGAGTTCTGCAAGAGTCGTCTTGCATAGACTAGATGCCAGTTGTCATCGTGATAGGTAAACAGTTGGCTCACACTCTGCGTACATTGGTCAACGAAGGGCTCTGCCAGAGCCAGGTTGGCTCCTTTAGCTAGCCAGAACGAAACGAGGTCTTTCATGGCGGACAACTTGTATGTTGTCAAGATATGCTTAAGGATATCTGCGCCTTGTAAGACCAGATGGTTGTCGCCAAATGAATCCGAGTGTAGGTCCTCTGGTACTGCTTGATGACTACCGGGACCATGGTCTCCGTCCGGAGTGATGTGCTTGAATATAGCTGCATGGCTAGACGACCCTAGATACCCAGGGTTTGGGTATGGATTACGTCTTGGATTGAATGACGGCGATTCATCCGGTGAGCCAATGCTGCAAATATATAATTAGCCAACTCGAATGCAGGCCAAGCAAGTATGCATCTGACCTTTGTTTCTCAACCCTTTTCCGCTTAAAGGGCGTAGTTCTGTAAATACAAATCCCCTTGCTATTACTACAACGCGTGCACACGGGCAGCTGGTGGTCGCATGCCAGTTTGGCCTTTCTACAGGCTTCACAGGCAGCCAGACGGGACATGGCTGGTCTGGCGGAGTTTCGTCCGCCAGTGGAGATAAAGAAGAGTGAAGTCGGCTAACAACGGCGAGATCGGAGTGTCGGCGTGTCGGCGTATCGGCGATAAGATGCGGGGACCCATCTATAAATACTTGTCTTTCCTCTTCTCCAACTTCAACATCACATTCATTATGACTCAAGATATTAAGCTTGCAGACTACCTGTTTACCCGGTTGCGCCAGCTGGGCGTCGACTCCATGTTCGGCGTCCCTGGGGACTACAACCTTCGCCTGTTGGACTTCGTTACTCCCGCCGGCCTGCACTGGGTGGGCAACTGCAATGAACTCAATGCCGCCTATGCGGCAGACGGATACGGTCGCATTAAAGGACTATCTGCATTAATTACTACCTATGGCGTTGGTGAGTTGTCCGCCATCAACGGTATTGCAGGCGCCTATGCCGAGAACACACCCGTGCTACACATTGTCGGAACCCCACCACGCCCGCTCCAGAGCGCGCGCACGTTCATGCACCACACTTTCTCAGATGGCGACTACCGTCGCTTTGCAAACATGTCAAAGCACGTCACTGCAGCCCAGGTCAGGCTAGAAGATGCTGCCACAGCGCCCGAAAGAATCGACTATGTCCTGCGCCAGGCGTTGATCCACAACCGTCCAGTCTACCTCGAGTTCCCCGATGATATGCCCGACGTGCTGGTATCAGCTGCAAACTTGGAAACAAAGATCTGCATCCCACAACCACCAAGCTCAGCCCAAGAGCCGCAGGTGCTGGCTCGAATCTTGGAGAGAGTGTACAGCGCCAAGCGTCCATTCATCTTCGTGGACGGAGAAAGCACAGGTCTCGGTATCGTCGACCAGCTCGATGCTCTGATCAAGGCAACCAACTGGCCCACATGGACAACCGTGTATGGCAAGGGCCTGGTCAACGAGCAGCTGCCAAATGTGTACGGACTGTACGCGGCAGGCTTTGGCGACAAGCCAGCGCAGGAGTACTTCCAGGAAGCAGATCTAATCCTGACATTCGGACCGCACAACAGCGATACCAACACATATTTCTACACATCAATCCCCAAGCCCGCAGTGGCAATCACATTCTCGGGCACCAAAGTTCAAATCGAGAATGACACTTACTATGACCAATCCGCCCGCAATATTCTATCAACCCTACTCCAGAGCCTCGATTCCACACGCCTAGTCAAGGCCACCGGACCCCCGAAACAAGAAATAACCCTGGCCAACATCCAGAACACAGACCCACTCGCCCAAGACAACTTCTACCGTCTGGTAAACCCGCTCTTCCGGGAGGGCGACATAATCCTCACCGAAACAGGCACCGCCGCACACGGCGGTCGGAACTTCAAACTACCTGCGAAATCCCGCATCTTTGGCGCAGTAACCTGGCTGTCGATTGGATTCATGCTTCCGGCAACACTAGGCACAGCGCTAGCGCAGCGCGAGCATAACAAAGGCACAGAAAGCAAGAGCCAGACGATTTTGTTCATCGGCGACGGGAGTCTGCAGATGACGGCGCAGGAGATCAGCGTGATGATCCGCGAGAAATTGAACATTATCATTTTCATCATCAATAACGACGGGTACACCATTGAGCGGGTGATCCACGGGCGGAAGCAGGTGTACAACGATGTGCCGTTCTGGAGACATGCGCAAGCGCTGAACTATTTCGGGGCCGATGAAGAGCATGCGGCGAATAACACCTTTACGGCGAGGACTTGTGGCGAGTTGAAGGATGTTTTGGCTAATGAACGGATTCAGAATGGGTCTGGGGTGAGGCTTGTTGAGGTGTTTATGGGTAGGGAGGATGTACAGGGGGCTTTGCTGTATCTATTGAACAAGCAGCTTGATGAGGAGAAGCAAGCAAAGCAGCAAGACTAGATTTAAAATGAGAGATGACCTGTTACATAGACGAAATCATATGTGTAGACTATGTTTTACTGTAGTTCCTTTGGATGGTACTTTTGATCAAATAGAATGATGTCTTACTATGATTATTGCGTGTCTCGCTCCTAGTACACGAAAGGAGAAATCCTTGGAATAACAAAATCAGGCTAAGTAAACGCCGATTCCCTATGCTCCAGATCCGCCATGCACAAAGAAAGTAGAAGAAACTAAAAAGAATAGCCCGAAACATTTGAAAACAGACATCTGTTTGAACATGTCACGAGGAGTCTATGATTGATCTGTGTCGCTGAGAGGCGGTTGCTCTATTTGCGGAAGCTTTCAACCCCCAGGGTTGGAGTTTCCACCATACGATCAGTGGGGACACCCTCGTCACGACGACGGGCGAAAAAGCTATCGCATTCGGAGACAATGTGTGCCCACTCCGCGAGGGCGCGGCCTGCATATTTGCTAGGCACATGATGGTCGTAAGCAGGCCGGGAAGGAAGTTCGGGTAAGGGGGGAGTTCTTGGTTGTAGGTGTTCGCGGCCAGGTATCTGAGGTAGGTTGTGTGGGGGTATCTTGGTTGGTGGTGAGAGTTTCTGGTTCTTGCGCATCGTTCTCGAAGTCGGACCGGCCTAGATTCTCTGACGCTGTGTCATAATCCGACTTGTCGGGAGAACGCCCATGCTCAACGTGCA